TGTACTACTTTACGCAAAAATTTTGGTTTAAATTTTTTGACCTTATATATAGTCTCAAAATTTCAATTTTAGCTCTACATATATAAGATCTGCATCATGTTGTAATATAGAAATTTCATCAGATGACTGGTGGATCATCAATTAAATTAAAATAATTTATACTTTTTCGATTTTATCAGAATCGGATCCTTCTGATTTATTTCTTTCTTTTGTACTTGCTTCACCAAAGACTTGTGCAAATGAATACTTCGTAACTACTTCAAGGTCATTATTAATACGATAATGATCTGATGCCGTGTCATATTCTGATTTGAGTTTTTTAAAGAGAATTTTGGATGGTTGTAAAAGGTGAATAGTATTAGATGGTAAAACATAAAGAAGAATATTTTTATCCTGACAATATTTAATACTAGTTAAGTCTATATGACTAGTAGCACCATCGAGCATAAGTAAAACAGGACAGATAGGGAAAATTGAATTATTAAAGTGTTCTATATATATTCTAAAGATATCTTCGTGCATATAACCAGTATTAGTAAATGCAGCAACTGTACCAGATGAAACTGATATACCGGCTAATAAATCTTCAATTATATTAACACCTTTATAAACAAGTAGAGGTGGAATATATGTTCTAGCCACCGAAATAGTAGGGCAAACAAAGACATATTCTTTTGAGCTCCCAGCTGTGGTTTTATGAACCTGGTGACTACTTTTTTGTGCTAATACATTTTGTAACCGAGCAGAAATATTAAAGCCACTTTCATCTATATTCCAAATTCTATCACTCGTAAATGAATATTTATGGATAAGTTGCTTGAGTTTTGTAAAATGGTCTTGAATAACAATCAGGTTACCTTTAGCTGCACGTGCTTTTGAAAGCTCTTGGAGAACACAAAAAGACAGTTGTAGGTGATCACGTATAAATCGTTTCTATCATTGATCACTAGGGCTTTTTATAATTAACTAGTTTTTTTTTTCCTTAAAAATCTGTATAACCATAGTATTTACTGCCTCCTTAGTAAGTCCAAATCCAATTTGTTGTATATTCAAACAATACCCGACTAACTCATTTTCTTCTTCAGCCGTAAGTATCATAGGAGAATCTAGACGTTTTGGTACACTACCTCTAGCTATGGCATCACACAATGTTTGTTCAGCAATATCATAATTAAAAGCAACTTTGCATATACTTAAAGGTAAGCTTGAACTAGTCTTTTGTGCTTCAAGAAAATTTAAAGCTTTCTGAATTGATGCTTGACGCAAAGCTGTATCCTTTTTTGAAGATATTACTTGGTTCATATTGTATACACTATTGTGTAAGTACAAGAAAAATATAAGATTTGTGTTGTAAACATGAAGATTTTTTTTTGTTTTTTTTTTACAGAGTTTAAATTCATGGTGCATTAGTCACAAATCGTGGAATTGGTCGTGGGACCTTTGGTTATTTAAGTTTTGTTTAATTGATCACGATGTAGTAAAAAAACAGTTATTTTTAACAAGTGTCTTAAATAAAAAAACATGTGATAAAACATGTATCTAAACATGTGTTTTACGAATTGGTGAGTTCTTTATTATATTTGAAATCATTAAATATTGTTTTTTTTTTTTTTTTGTTTAAATTTTGAAATATTAATGTGTTATAAATCGGGTTTTGTCATTATAAAGACAATTATCTTGGCGCAAATAATAAGAGAAAATAAAATTTTTACACAAAAAAAAAAAAAAGATGCTTTTAGAATATGTATTTATATATATATAAACGGTGTAACAAATTTTAAACTTTATTTTACTTACAAATTAACTAATTGGCCAACAATAAATGGGTAGAATGTAGAATCCACGGAAATAGGATAATCCTCGAAAATAGGTATGCTTACCTTATCATTTTAAATAAGATTTCATAAAATTAAATTTATACAAATTATTTCGAATTAAATAAATAAACATTAGATTTATTTATAAACTTTAATTTGATTCGAATAATTGTGAACTAT